GCCTGAGGGGCACAGGGAGGCATGTGGGGCACAGGGAGATGTGGGGCACAGGGAGGCCTGTGGGGCACAAGGGAAGCATGTGGGGCACAAGGGATGCCTGTGGGGCACAGGGAGGCATGTGGGGCACAAGGGGGTGTGTGGGGCACAGGATGCCTGAGGGACACAGGGAGGCATGTGGGGCACGGGGTGCCTGAGGGGCACAGGGAGGCATGTGGGGCACAGGGAGATGTGGGGCACAGGGAGGCCTGTGGGGCACAAGGGAAGCATGTGGGGCACAAGGGATGCCTGTGGGGCACAGGGAGGCATGTGGGGCTCAGGGAGGCATGTGGGGCACCAGGGGGTGTGTGGGGCAGAGGGAGGCATGTGGGGCACAGGGCCGTGTGGGGCACAGGAGGCGCGGGGGGGGCGGGAGGGCCTTGGGGGCCGGGAGGAGCAGTAGGGAGGCTGGAGAGGCTTTGGCTGGGCAGTGCAAAGTGCTGTCAGAGCTTCGGGGACGTTTTCGGGGAGGAGAGCCGAGCACAGGACCCGTAAGAGAAGGGGCCTGCCAGAGACCCTCTAGCCGTTCTGAATTTCACCGTTTCCTGCGGCGTCCTCAGTCTCCATGCGAAGCTCGCTGTGTTAAACGAGGCTGATATTAAAAAAAAAAAAAATTAGGGCGACAGCAGCTGTGCGAAACATCAGCTTTGCAACATAAGGGAAGGTACCTGCAAGAATTTCTAAGCTGGGGAAACCAGCCGAAGGCTGAAGCCTGGCGCGTGATCGTGCAGGTTTGGGGAGAGGGACAGAAGTGCTCCCTCTTCCCTGGTGGCTGCAGGCAGGGGAGCCCTGGCAAGCAGGAGGGGGGCCAGGAAAGGCAGCGCTTTCAGCATGGTATGGCAGAGAAGAGGCAGTGAGAGCTCCTCTCTTGTCCTTACCAACTCCAAACCGAGAAGTATTGTTTAGAGGATGCCCCCAGGGATGCTGGCGTCCTCATCTCCATAGCCAGAGATGCTGAAGGACCTAAAACGCTTGGTAAGTAAAACTGCTCTTGTTTCTTTGTCTTACACTCCTCTCTTGTAGCTGCCTCCAACATCCACTCTCAAGTTGCTGTTCTCTTTTCGTTCCAACCTTGAAAACGTAAGTACCTTATCGATCGCGAAACCGTGCCTGGCAACAGATGATGTGGAAGGGAATCACTGCCAGATGTAGTACAGGAGCGGGAAGCAGCAGTGAGATGCTCACATCAGGTGAGCCGAGCTCTCCAGCTTCCATAATACAGAGACGACCAGAAAGACACAGCCGTGCTCTGAGCACCAGCTTCAGACGCGGTACACACTGACAACAGACCTCCCTCTGCACTGCCTGGCCTGCTCTAGCTCGGTGTCAGCCCAGGGTGAAGGACAGCTTGCTGGTCAAGGAAGGGGAGCAAGCTGGTGTGGCTTGGGCTCCTGGCACTGTCCCAACGGTCTGTGAGTCCCCCAGGGCAGCATCGGCCCCGCAGCCGGTGAGACTCCAAGCCTGGAGACAAGGAAACATCAAGGTGGCTCCAATGAGGTTGACGCAGTGCCCTGTGTACGGTGCCCTGGCAGGATTCACACCCCTTTCCAAGGATGGGTGAAGCTGCTGTTAGGAAGTGAAAGCTGGCTGGCTGGGAGCAAGCCAGGCAGGCGAGAGAGATGAAAATAAGGAAATCCAACTGTGTGCTGAAAATTGATGCAATAAAATTCTGTCAATCAATTTGAGCTGATCGGTCTTCCTGATAATATGCAAATCCTGGTTAAGTTGGTGAATTATTTTCAGTATCTCTCATGTCAGCAACCACAATGTGGAGCAAGGTCATTGGATGGTTATCACTGAGCTGAAGTGCAGAGTGGAATATAGGAACTATCCCAGGTTCTTGCATTTTTCCTTGTTGAGTGAAGCTCATCTGACCAAATGTGTGTCTTTCCATCATCTACACTCCTTCCTCTCCAAGGAAAGACATAAGCATTTCTTGTCAAGATTTTTTTCAACCTAAAGAGACATCCAGAATGGGACAGAAGAATCACAGCTCGGAAGTGCTGTTTCTCTCCTTTCACTAAAGAGTGAGCCCGCACAGCTCGGTTGGACGCAGATGGCTCTCTACAACATACATGTCTGCAATGGGGGCAGGTGAGTTCTGCCCTGGGTTCCTGCCCAGCTGTGGTTACAATATAGCCAGCTGCTGGCTGTGAGCAGGAAATAATGATCAATTTTCATAGTGGAGAGAGGAGGTCCACTATGGGACCACTGAGGAGGTCCCTGGAAGAGACTTGGGAAAAGGGCAAACCTGCGAATGACAAAGTTTGTTGCTGATCCCAAGATATTTTGACTAGTAGAGACACCCAGGCATGGGTATCCCATCTCCCCAGAGACCATGGCTCACCATGCCCAGCATGGCTCAGACACAAAGTTGTTGGGGCTGATCACATCTGGCTCACGGTTGGCCAATGGCAGGCAGGGCTGGGGAATTTGGACCTACCAATCCCACCAAATGGCAGTGAGGTCAACATTATGTGCATCAGGGTGCCATTTCCACAAAAGCCACCACTGCTTGTCCGCTCTAGCACCTGGTTCATCACCTGGAAAGGAAGCAGAGAAGGCGGATGTGAGACTCAGACCCTGTCCCCACACCTCGAGCTGCAGTTCTTCCCCCACGACCAAGACTGTCTGCTCTAACCGTGTTGGTGTCCATGGGGCACCAACGTGGTTGAACACATCTGCTGAGGTTCATGAGACAAGTAAAGCCCTCAGGTGCTGCCCCCAGGCAGCACTTGCCAGACATCAGCCAGCTCCACCACCAGCCCCTGCGTGCCCAGACCACAGTCTCTGAGAGCATCCTGCTCTCAGCCAGCAGGCACTGACCTGTTTCAGTCCCAGGTGAGGGTCTGATCACAGACTGAAGTCAGTCTGAGTTCACTGTGATCCTACTGATAACATCCAGAACTCAGTTAAAGATATCTAGAGTTCAGTTCAGGCTGTTCCCTGATGCAAAAGCAAGGAGCCCTGTTCCTGCTGCACAGCCCATGTCTTTGGAGGCCTGCTCAGCACTCACGGCCATGCTGGGAATTCCTGAGTGTGAGTGGCTATGCAGCCATGCCTGCCCTTATTACTTCTGTCTTGAGAAGGAGGAACAGCTGGTGCCAAGCACAAGTTCAAGGCATGGCCAGGGTTATCAGCAAGGTGCGAACTAGTTCTACAGCCCTGTTTTGCTTGCTCTCTCTTTCAGCCTATATATATACCACACCTTCTTATCAGAGGAGAAGACATATACAACCAGCAGCTGCTTATGAGTATTGATAAAATTAATGGCTTCTTCCACACTGGCTACTGTGATGATGGGCAGGATGGGCCCGAAGATCTCTTCTTGCATGGCAGGATCAGAGGGCTGCACATCCACCAGCACTGTGGGAGCTGCAGAAAAAAGAAACCAGAATTCGTCACCCATGCGCAGAGGTGGGAGATGTCACCTCGGTCCTCTCCCCATGAGCTGCCAAGTGCTTCTTCTAAGACAGGAGGTCCCACCAAGCTCCCAACTTTCCATGCAAACCTTCCCTATAAGTATCTTCCATCTAACACCTTCCCTTTGGTTGTGAGCTGCTCTCCAAAATCCAGGCCCACACCATGTATTCACAAGAATGAACGAACCCATATGAAGTTCAAGCTCAGATGTCCTCACCAAAGTAATGCTCCTGCTCTTCCGTCTGCCCTCCGATGGCCACGCGCCCGCTGCTCAGCAGAGCCCGCACCCGCTGGAATTGCTTGTCCCCCACGATGTGGGCAAAGTCGGGGGACTCCTGAGGGTTGGGGCCGTAAAACTCGGTGATGGCCTCACGCAGGGCCGGCAGCAGCTTCTCCCGCATCTCCACGCTGCACAGCACGTAGTCGGGCGCCACGCAGGTCTGTCCCGCGTTGAAGAAGACCCCAGGCCACCCGCCTGGCCACGTTGTGCACCTCGCAGGTGTCAGACACGTAGCAGGGGTTCTTGCCCCCCAGCTCCAGCGTCACCGGCGTCAGGTGCTGGGCAGCGGCTGTCATAATGATCCTGCCCACGGAGGGGCTGCCTGAGGGCAGGGAGAGAGGTGTCACAGCAAGGATCCCACGGGCCTGGGCCCCGGGCTTCAGGGGAGCCAGGCCCAGTGGGAGACACATCAAGTCTCACCAGTTCCTCAAAAACATACGCCCCACATCCTCCACCCCATCCTGACACCCCATCCCCAACACAGCCCTCCCCAGCAGCTCTCGCCCCTTGCAGGGCCGGGAAGGGGGCCTTGGGCTTGCAGGCAGGCTGCTACCCTCCCTCTTTGGTGGGGAGGGTAAGTTGCAGCGAGGGACCGTCTGGTGGGACTCCTCTCCCAGTTTGCACAAGAAGCATCAACAGGGCTCAGCTCTGGCCCTTGGCACATACCAGTGAAGAAGATGTAGTCAAACTTGTTCTCCAGCAGTTTGGTGGTTTCCTCCACACCGGCAGTCACCACAGCAAAGCAGTCCTGCAGTGTAAGAGGAAGGGTCCCAACCCCTCTGTGAGCACCTGCTTAGCCCACTCTGCCCCCGTCCCAACAAAGAGCATCCAGGGTTGCTGGGCATGGGGACGTTGGCTGAGAGTGGAGGAAGTGGGCATGAGCAGTGCCTGGGAACAGGAGGCAGCTACGGTGCCGGTACGTGCAAGGCAGGCACAGGGCCTGCCATGCACAGGGCACAGCTCAACTTGCAGGGCTTGGGAACGCCATGGCACAGGGACAGGGACAGGGACAGAGACAGAGACAAGGACAGGGAGTGCTTCTTACATTGTCCAGGTAGCAGGGCAGGGCTTCAGCCACCAGTCTCTCGATGTTCTTGGTCGTCTCCGAGGGTTTGACAATGACACAGTTACCTGGGGGGAGGCAAGCAGGACATCAGAGCAGCGACACACTCACAGACACTAGCCCAGAGTGGAGACGAGCCACCCAGACAGACCCCCTCCCCGATGCCTGGCACTGCCACCACCATGGGCTGGATCCTCCAGGCCAGAGGAAGGCTTTGGCTCTGGCGCAGCTCACTCACCAGCGGCAATGGCCCCGATGAGGGGCACAAAGAAGAGGTGGATGGGGTAATTCCAGGGGGCGATGATGAGCACCACCCCATAGGGGTCCTTGCGGATGAAGGCTGAATCCAGTTGCGTGACCTGTGTGAAAGGCCACAGCATCAGCAACGCTCTTTTCAGGACAGTTGCAGAACAGCACAACTGTCTCCATACATTGGTCTTGCTACACACAACCCCTCCATCCCACACAGCTCAGCTTAGCAACTGCGTATCCTTTTCCCCCTTCTCTTCCTCTTCTTTCCTCTTACCAGGTTCTTCTCCACGTGCTCATCCTTCATCCAAGTGCCCAGCTTGTTAAGGGTGTCATTGAGCTCGTTCTTGCACAAGAGGATCTCAGAGAACTCTGCTTCGTAGGGCGGCTGGGGACACAGAGCACCACCCACACCACCTCCACGTGAGACGGAGCACAGAGGCAATTCTTGCAGTTACCCTGCATTTTTTACCCATGATTCAGGGACGCGAGCCCCTCACATGCTGGCCTGCAGTGTGGTTAGCATGCGTGCTGCTCTCAGCCCTGAGCTGCGTGGTGCTGCCAGCTGCAACGATGAGGGGCTGAACCCCACCGCTTGTTTGTGGTGTGCGGGGTTGGTGAGCTCTGCAATGCTGTTGCGATATCACTGGGCCAGTCCTAACCCAGTTCTCCTGGCTCTCTCTGCAAGAACCTGCCTGTGGCAGGGTTTACCTTGTTTTTCAGGATCTGTCAGAGATCAGCTCAGTTAAGAACATCAAAGGTAGCCAGATAAACAACAACAAAGAAGAGCATAAGGGATGACTCCCCGCACTATTCCTCAAGTTGCCTGGCTTTGAATAGGTGACACAATAGGTGTCATTGGCATGAATATAGTGCCAACTCTGAGGCACAGTTCTGCCAGCAGCTTCTTAGCGCTAAATCAAAAGGGAACCCCCACAATACTTATCCTTTAAGGCACAATCATGTTTCCTCTTCCCCAGGGGCACGCTGGAAGATGAGGTGGACAGTGTCCAATGGGGAAATGGCAGATTCAAAGGATACAGCCATTGGGTCAGGTGGGATTTCAAAACTGGGAAGGAGATAGGGCAGAAAAGAGAGCATCTCGATTGTGTTTGTGCGGTCTTTTGGTAGAGTGAGCTGAGAAAGCAGAGGAGGAGATCCAACCACTGAGCCTAGGAAGCACGGAGAAAAGCAAAGCAGAGCTAATGGGCTTCAAGATGCTATTGTTACTGTGTTCAAAAGGGGGACTAGGTAAATCATGAGGGAAGGGAGTCTGAAGGGAAGTGGGAAGAGTTAAGGGATTGTGGCAGGTTCTTAGCAGGACAATGGGCAAGGTGCAGAGCAACCCGGGAAGGGTAAGCACAGACAGACAGGCTGGGCTGTCGTTCCCTCAACTAGGGGCAGACCCCAGGGAAAGATTACCAGGAGGGGAGCCAGGCTGGGCAAAGACAGAGGAGAATAAACAGCATGACCACACTGGGACAAAATCCGAGTTTTGGAGATACAAATTAGACGCATCTGGGAAAGGGTGCAGAGGGGAGCAAGAAATGGCTCCACGTGATGCTGGGAAAAGTAAGACTAAGAAAAGGGCAGGTCTGCTACTCCAGAGAGAAAATAGATGACGTGAGTAGACCATGGCATTGAATGTTTTGTTCAGCTTCAGTGTTCATTGAAAAAGGGAACTGCAGCTGGCTGATCAAGCACAGCTGGCACTATAAATAATTATCAGCCTGCTGAAGAGAAGAACAGGTCAGTGAGTATTTACACAAGCTAAATGTCTTCAGATCAGCTAGACCTGATGGGTTTCATCCAAGGGATGCAGCAAACCAGCTGAAGCAGGCTCAGAGGCATTCACTCTTCTGAAAAGGGAGGGTGGGAGAGAGTCTAGGCCAGAAAAGGCCATGCCTGGGACATCATTTAAAGAAATGGAAGAAGGAAGACGCAGGAACCCAAAGACCCTGCAGACCCCAGAAGAATATTGCAGTACATATCCTACATGTCCTCTATAAGAAAAGGGATGGACAATAGCCAGAACACCCTCATCAGACTCATCTGATTTCCTCATAAGACAGCACAAATCCCTGTCTTGGTAAGGGAGAAGCGATAGGCATTCATGTATCTCATTTTCCATTTCATGGGGATTGGGATGCTACAGGAGGTTCTCATCACTGCGGTACCACAATGCTATCCTTAAACCCATGGCATTTAGTCTGGAGTGTGCCTGCACTTCTTGCCATGGAAAGAAGACAGTACTGCTGCAAACATTTCAGAAAAATCCCTCGTGGTCTGCAGAGGAGAGGTAGCAATTCATGGTACATTGGCTCTTCCCGTAGAAAAGCTAGCGATTAGCAAACGAAGCTAGCATACTTAAAGGAAGCAAAAAGAGTTGCTTCATCCCCAAATGTGCAGTTAAGCTGTGTCTTAATAACACTTGCCTCAGGGCATTGCAGGTGGTGAAAGTTTACATGGGTTCAGGGGAAGATCGGATAAGGTCATGGAAGAGGAATCCATGACCTAGGCTCTCAGTACTAAATATATAGAAACTGAGTCTAGCTCAGGAAGTTTCCGAGAAACAAACTCTGAGAGGCTGGGAGAATATTTGAAAGTATCATACATAATTGCCCTGTTTCTAAGCATCCTTCTGTGAGGGCTGGGCTAGGCAGACCTTTGATCTCACTCAATACACCATCCTTAACGTTCATATACAAGCTGGGGGAACTTTGCTAAGCTGCAACTATTACCAGTGGCTTGGGCCATAACCCTGAGCGAGGAGCTGCCAACCTGGACTTGGTAGGGGCGGATGCAGAGAAAACCATGTCCTGCAATTACCAGGAAAAAAAAAAAAAGTGACTGTACTGCCTTGAAATAGTTAATAAAAAAGGTGTTGTTCACTCCAGAACAGAGCTGGAGTTGCAGAAGCACTTGGCAAAGTTGTGTCACGCAGCAGCATCAAGTTCTCGGCAACATGGTACTTCACAGAGGCCGGTCTCTAGAAAATCATATGTTTTAAGTAGCTTCGTCCTGTTGTGATTTAGGTCATTAAAAGGCCCTGGTCCAAAGCATTCTTACTTGGTTTACCAAAAAGGGTTTCAGAGATGGGTTTTTTTTTTGTCAAATGGTGGAGGGAGCGTCTGTCTGGGACCAGCTGAAAGGCAACAGCACTATGCATGGGCGATGTCTCCCAAGTTCAGGGTCTGAGGCTTCCCAGCAAAAGTATGTGTCAGGCTATAGCCCACGTTTGGATACAAAAAGCACTAGGATCACAGAAGCAAGTGGAAAATGGAGGAAAACGTAGCACACGTTTCCTGAATGCCATCAAGCCTTGGTCTCATTCTCCTTTTGGCACAATAGCTGGCTGCTTAAAAATGGCTAAATGATCCAGATCTTGTCTATCCAGATCTCGATAAAGGACCGAGAGGCTGTCAAAAGGGAAATTATGAACTAAGATGGAGAACAAAAGATTGTTACGAGCCTCATATGATGCACAAGGACCTGGCTGTGGAAAAACAAGTTGTTCCAAAAGGGGAAACTACTCACCTTGTGGGGCTTGAGCTTTTTGAGGGCTCACAAAGAAGCAGGGGATGGGTCTGATGTGACTCTTTCGTTAGTGACCCTGACATATACGTGATAAAGGGAGCAAAGAGGCAAGGGGGCGACCCAAAGCCAGGAGGCACAGTCAGTGCTGTGCAGATCCAGGCTAGGAGACCTGCAGCCCTGTGTAACCACGAAGAATAGAGAGGGGACGACATTCAACAGAAAGCCCAAAATAGGAAAAGGGTGGCAAGAGTTTGTGCTCCTCGGAGGTCCACCTGGCCAGAGAAGAGGTGAGCTGAGGCTAATGAGTTTGGGAACAGGGAGGAAGGCCAATGTGTCCAGATGCCTGCTCCAACCCCTCACATCCTGAGCTGCTGGGGCTGGTTGGGGCTGAGGGGAGCCCTGATGTCAGGTCCATCCTGAGATTCATGGGTGAGGGATGGCAAAAGGGCTGGGGATGAGAGCAGGGATTGTCTGATCTCCAAGCCAAGCGGCTGTGCCAAGCCAGCCGGGCTCGTGTAGCACTGACGGGTGCAGCTGCTCTCACCCAAAACGGGGGACGAGCTTTTGGTGTGGTGGGCTGGGACACGCTCCACGCAGCGCACAGCCCGGTCTCGTCCCACTCACAGGACACGCGCACCACCAAGGCCTGCCCAGCACCGGGAGGAACCACCGAATGGGTGGGGAAACCTCGGTAGGTGCAGGACATGGTCCCCCCAGAGTTTGTGGAGAGCTCTGCAGCCTGGGAACCAGCCGTGCAGGCTGGGACCTGTCTGGGTCTGATCTGACCTGACCTGACTGGGCTCTGCCCAGCGCCCCGTGCCTGCACTCAGCTGGATGCAGAACTCTGATGGGGTGGGAAGGGGGACACAGGACCCCAAAACTGTCCCCCCCAC